CCATTTTTCACATCCGGGCTTGGGACCGGCAATGAGAGTGTTAATGTGTGTATAAATATCAAGGTGCTATACAAATAATTTTCGCAGCTATTATAAATAATTTTAAATTGTATAGGTTTATGACATCAAGATGTTATAAGTATAAATATCAAACTTTGGATATTAGAAATGTAAATATATTAGGATTGTGTCGGCTGTATTTTTATGTGTTTCACATCTTACCAATAAATGATATCACCTCATCATGATCTTTATATGCTGGAATGGATTATGGTTTCACAGTGTCTTGTAATGTGTGTTATTTTTGATTGTTTCCTTATTATTTGCCAAGCTTCAAACCCTTTCTTCTTAAGTTGCGAATATTCATTCATTTCATCTTGTGCTTCAGACCACATACGAGAATTTCCGCTACAGAACCGATCGTCGGCGCAATGTCTACGATCGGGGTTGCCTGAACAACTTCATGGAGGTGTTCTGCACCAAAATAAAGCCCTCGAGGAATGACTTCCGCGCCTTGGTGCAAGAAGAAGCCCCAAGGCCGGCTCAGAATGTTCGCCCCGGAGAGCCCGAAGACGATTTAGGGAGCTACCACCGTTCGAAGGTAGAAGATGACCTCGACATTGGCGGGGATCTGCTGAAGATCTCCCAGCGGCGCAGCATCGAGGAGTTCGACGAAGAAATCGGCCGTAGAAACGACAGCGGGAGGCCCGGAACCGTTTCGGAGGCCGAATTCGCATCGGATTTGGAGAAGCAGGTCCCGATTACTGGAACTGAGATTCCCATAACAAGAACTGATGCGAGGAATTCAAGCTGGGGGAGGAGAAGCAGCAACTGGGAGATATCACCTGAAATCTTCACGAAGAACTCTTCTGCTGCTGCGGGAAGCGGGAGTTTGATGACGGAGAAAGAGAGGTTAGTAGGAGAAAGAAAAGATTGAATTGCTGAATAGAAGCAAGTGGCTTTATGTTCTTAGCAAGGAGAATTGATTCCGGAGCCATGATTAGATTGATTGTATTGCTCCTGATCTATTGTTTCATTTTTATTATCTTTTTTTTTT